AAATTTGAATTATTGCAAAATCTGCACCTCTTCTGTGGCTAATTTTAATTTCGTAGTGATCCTTACTCCGTGAAGTCAAGCAGCAGAAGTTAAGTGACAATATGCAAATACTACTGGCCCATTTTGGGGTGAACTAAATATACAAGACTAGTTTTACACGTCACTGTTTATAACACAGGGTGTTCATCCTTTGCTGGGTCATTCATCGACCTCAAATATAGCTTATCATCTGAAATTAGTATGTATTAGCAACTTTACATGGCCACTCAATCTAATGTTAGCCTAGAGAAATGTGCGCTATTGAAGTGTCTGCGGAGTGTGGAAGCTGAACAGTAGCGCTCACTTGCTCTTAAAATACTCGCTCATTTTTGATCATACAGATAAAAAATCTTTTGAATCTGTTAAGACTCTACGTTTATTTGTGTGCACTCACAATAACAACAAAACATTGCGCTTTTGTAGAATAATGAAAGAAAACAGGATGCGCTTTCTGCCGTCTCGGTCTCTGTGAACTTGAGCGCGAAACTCCGTGTATATCTTTGCCTTAAAGTCATGAAAAAATATATAGGCAATCTATAAAAAGTGAAATGTCTGCTTTCAAATGAAAAACAAATATTCTTAGATTATGTAATCCGTATGAAACATGCATAAAGACGGAGATGACGAGTCGGTGTCGCCGACTTCATCTTTTAAACCGAAAAAGAAAAAAAGCACTAGTGTATCAATACATTTTTAAAATGTTAATGCAGCCTCCTTACTGTTTTTCCCTGACACATTCATATTAATCATTACTTCTGCGGTGCGCTGTGGCAAGTTTATGCATGCGCTTGCGCGCTTATAGGATATGTCGGCTATTAAAGGCTCATTGTAATGATTTAAATGGTTTATTAATAAATGTGGGATTAATCGACTAATGCTTAAAAATGAACGACTAGTTGACCAGAAAAATCTTTAGTCGAGGGCAGCCCTATTATTAGGTGATGTTGGAAAGGTCACGCGTGACGTAGGTGGAAGTACAAAGTTAAACATGCAAAAAAAAGTCAAATGCCCTTTACGAAAAAGGTAAAACAACGATGTCGGATGATTTTAAAGTTGGAAGAGAAAATGAGATGGAGTTTTTAAACGAAGTACAAAGATGAAGAACTAACATTTCCAACAGGATTGCGTAATGTGTGAAGACGTGCATCGCAGAGCTAGAGCAAGCCCAACATTTGTGGTTAAAATGTGTATAAATTAGGGCTGACAGTTTAATGCGTTAATTAATTAGTTATGAAAAAATAACGCAATTAAAATATTTTAACGCACTGGCCCCGCCCCCAGACCTGTACATCAGACCTTACATTTCATACAGTTGACTGATGACCGATATGATGCAGGACAACAACTCTATAAAAATGCAGTTATGCCCTAAAATTCAAGATACTGGGGCAAAACATGCCCCTGTACGAGTTTTTGTCTCATATTTATATCATATGATAAGCAATACCATATGAGCAGCAAGAGCAATATCACACGAATGCTGTTTTGTCACGAATATCACGCGTTTAAATATGACTTTATATAACAGTTCAGTAAATATGTAGTTAATATTGTTTTTTTTTTTAACACAATATTGTCTGTTTTGCTCAATTTTGCCGAGGAAAATATTACCTTTAAAGCCGCCGCAGAACTGTTATGCATCTGTGAGCAGCACATCGGGGTTTAGTTTCTGAATGAATCCGCGTTTTGAACAAATCCAATGATTCAATGAATAGCCTAATCATAAACTGAGCTGTTTACTTCATTCCTGAATGAATCAGCTGTTTGAACGAATGAATGAATGAATGAATGAATGAACAAACGAATGAATGAATGAATGAACGAACGAACGACTGAATGAACGAACGAATGACTGAATGAATGAACGAACGACTGAATGAATGAACGAACAAACGAATGAATGAATGAATGAATGAATGAACAAACGAATGAATGAATGAACAAACGAATGAATGAATGAATGAATGAATGAATGAACGAATGAACAAACGAATGAATGAATGAATGAACGAACGAACGAATGAACTAACGAACGGATGAATGAATGAATGAATGAATGACAGTTTAATTTAAGGAAGCAACTGATTAGTGATTATTAGTATTTTTGGTGGAAACTATGGTTAGCACATACTATATATATAGAAATAATTTCTAGTCTGCTATGATGGATTTCAGCTCATGCATGCTTGTAAATAAAGTTTATTTAGATGCATTTGCACATATAATTTTTTTTTTTTTTGAATCAAATAAAATATTTATTTCTAAAGGTACTATTTGTAATGTCTACTTGATACTTTGTCATTTAACACAATAATGGCCTTAAATAATCTTCTGTTGGTAACTTCACAGCTAAATTTAATTTGCGATTCATTAGATTAATTAATCGACACATCATGTAATTAATTAGATCAAACATTTTAATCGTTATAAATATTACCTAGTATAAATATTATTTTTTTTCAGAAAATGACCTATGGTTTTGCTAGATAAGACCCTTATTCCTCGGCTGGGATCGTATAGAGCTCTTTGAAGCTGCACTGAAACTGCATTTTTAACCTTCAATCCGTTGAGCACCACTGAAGTCCACTATATGGAGAAAAATCCTGGAATGCTTTCCTCAAAAAAACTAATTTCCTTGCGACTGAAGAAAGAAAGACATGAACATCTTGGACGGCATGGGGGTGAGTAAATGATCAGGAAATGTTTATTCTGGAAGTGGACTTCTCCTTTAAATCACTGCAGGGTTTTTCCTCGTCCTGGTGTTGGTGACTCTGGCGGAGCGGGAATCCTGCTCAATCATAGTCATAATATGACGCATTTAGCGCAGATTTCCAGCTGCTGACACGGTCACATCTGACTAATTACCGCTCGGTTGTTTCAGACGTAATGAAGGCTTTTCTGTTAGTCAGCCCTAATTAAGCAGCGGGTTACTGAGCTACTGTGTCTAAATCATCTCACTAAACGATGGAAAGCATTCGTGCTACAGATATAAATGATGCCTCAAATCATATCCGTTTTATAATATTAGAATTACTGTTTTCAGTCTTTTTGTTTGTAACTTGAGTGTTTCATAATATAAAGTGGATGATAATTTGGATTTACATTTTTTGTTATTAGTATTAAAATATAATTAGTACTGAGTAACAGTTGTATTTTATAATTATATTAATAACCATATATAATTAAATAAACATTGGCATTTAAACATTATTAAAACATAACTCTATCAATAATATAATGACAACACATTAATATATTTTATTATATGATTTAAATGTAATATTCATTATACTGTTTTTAAATATTACTGTATATTA